CAGCCTACTTGAACTACTTCAAACACAAATGAATGTAAAATCTTGAACTACTTCAAACACAAATGAATGTAAAAGAATATGACAAGCACCCATGTACTTACCTCCAGGATCGTAATTCTAATAATAACTTTTTCCATGTCGATTTAATTTAAGTGGAAAGTCTTAAGAATAAAATATTATCTGTGTTTACTTTACTCTTAAAAAGATATGAGAACCCAGCATGCTTTCTATCCAGGTTTTACCATCCTTGAGTAGGTTAATCTTCTAATTGCTATTAGGATTTCAGTGTTCTTAAAACTTTGTCCCTTTGGGGTGGCAGTATTTTGAGATCAATATCTTGGACACCCAAAATAACTAACCAGATACACAACCCATTTATTTTACAGTAATATCTTGAAAAGTGTTTAACACAGCATTTTAATTTTAGCATTGTTATATAAATGACAAAGGATGTTTCATTACATCTTATAAATGAATCTTATTTAATAGAGTTTACACTGTTCCTTATTCACTTCTTATAAATTTTGAAGTAGCTTCAGTCATGCCAGAGTTTTGTTTTTTTTTTTTACTATAAAAGACTTTGAATTTTGATGTATATTTTAAGTTTTTAGTAATCTTGGAAAAATATATATTTATCTGATATTTCTGCTTTATTTGTAGCTATCATTTAATGATTCCCCCCCACCCCTACCCCCAAATGTACTAAAAGCAAAAAGACATAGATTAGAAGGAATTATACCGTGATTACTTTTTTGGTAGTGCATGTTATAGTGTAACCATAATTTGAGTTTTGGACTGTTTTGGGCTACTTGTTTCCTTTGAACCAGGAAGCCATAGTTTAAGCTGCATTGAGTGATAGAGCATTTGCCCTTCTTTCAAATGCTTAAGAATAAATCTATGGCCATGCCACCCTGAACAAGCCCAATCACTTCTGATCTCGGAAACTAAGCAGGATCGGGCCTGGTTAGTACTTGGATGGGAGACCACCTAGGAAGCCCAGGTGCTGTAGGCGTAAAAAAATAAAAAAATAGAGATTGTAAACTGACAAGGTCCTTGCAATCTGTGAAGTCAACCAAGGGTTGCCTAAAAAAAAAGATACTTAAGATGTTTCATTTAGCTAGATAGGAAAAGAGAAATGTGTGTGGCCCCTCTAGTTGATAGGTCATATAAACTTTAGAAATGCAAGACCTTTAAAAGGGTCAGTGTCTACGGCAGATTTTTCTAAACTCGTACTTTTTTTTTTGGAAATATTTGAGAGAGGTAAAACTTTCATTTACTTCACTATATTTATAAGTGCCTACTGCATGCTGCACCACATGCTGTTTGTGGCAGTGGGGGAAAAGTGGTGGGCAAGACAGAAAAGGTTCCTGCCCTGATGGAGTTTATATTCTTGTGGGGAGAGATAGACCCAAGTGAACAATCTAATAAATAAGATAATATCAGGTAATGAAAAATGTTGTGAGAGACCTGAGTGATAGAATACTTGCAGAACGGATGCTACTTTTTTACCTAAGGTGGTTAGGGAAGGCCCAAGGCTCCTGGGAGGGGGTTTCATTTGAACCAAACCCCAAATGTTGTCAAGGAACCTTCAGTGCAAAAATTTGGGAATCTTCAAGACTGAATGTCCATGGGTTTGTGAATCTTGAAGACCGTTGTCCTGTTTTAAAAAGAGAAGGGAATAAGAAATGACAGAAGCATACTGGGATCAGGCAGAAGCCTCTGAATGGTTTACCTGTGAATTGTGGAGTGCTTTGAATCATTGTGGCAGTGAAAAGTGCCCTGTACTGTGTGGGTTCTGATCTCAGGTGCCAGCAACTATCTGCTTATGGTCTGAAGAACCCAGTTTCATCAAGAGTCATATGACAGGGTTGGACCAAACACCTCGAGACTCTTTTTTTTTTTTTTTTGGTACTTTTGAATCTGTGATATTTATTGGCAATAAAAGGAGAATTATTAGTTGGCAAATGCATTATTTTTTATTTTTTTTACCCAAATATATGGAAAAATGCAAGATTTACTCAATGATACTAATCTTTAAAATGAGAGTTGTTTAAGAATTAGTAATCTGTAGTACTTGTCTAAAACAGCACAAAACTTGCATTAGTTAATTCAGTGTGCTAGATATATTCTTAATAATGAAAAGACATCTTAAAAGCTCACCTCTGACCTCTCAGCAATAAGAAATGAACTATAAATTATGCCAACTTTTATTGTGGCTCCCATGAAACAGCCCTAACTCAAACAGCCCATTTAGGCTTCACATATGTAAACTGTGATAGATCTTCTTTCTCTTTCATTCTTGATTATTTACATGTCAAGGATATTGTTGTTTTAGAAAAGCAAATGAGCAGTCTATTTAAATTAGACAGTTATTCATTTTGGATTGTAGAGGAAAGTTCTTAATGCTGAAAATTCTTGTTTTGATAGTATATTGCTTTCTTGGAAGGCTGACAATTAGTGATTTAGTTTTGATTTAGATTTAGTTTTACTCAAAGCAGGAATTTGAAATGCTTGAAGTATGAAATGTAGATACTCTTTTGTTTTTATCAATGACTAGAATTACATAGTTGCATGTTTTCGGATTTGTCACACATTCAGTAAATACTTATTAATTATCTGTTATGTTGCAAGTGCTAGGGATGCAGTGCCCCTCATAGTCCACTGGATGAAGTGGTAACTACTTGGGCTCAGACAGAAATTTCTGAAGCTATGATGGAGCCAGAAGTTCCTAAAATGAAGTTTACATCCTGTTAGCTTTGCAACTTTAAAGAGCTTTGGAATACTACTTTTATTACCTCATCTCCTTAACATGAAGAGATACGGGCTCTTTCTGAAAATGCTAATTGTTTTAAAAGTTGAAAGCCAAACCTTTGTAAAACTCAAAATCTTCCTTGACATAATTTTACTCAGAGCCAATGCTTTAGAAATTCTGATCCATGGTTTAGGAAATCTTGTCAGTATTCAAACTTGAAATAAATTGTGGGTGTGGGAAAGGGGTGGGAAAGGAATCAAATTGTTGAGCATATGTGTTCCAGAAACTGGAGCTATGGCTAATTTCTACCTGATATGCTCCCTTGTGTCTCGTGGAGCTGGCAGAAGTATAGTCAGTCACACTCTTCCTGTGCCCAGTGTTTCAGCAACGTGCCTCTAAAAGAGAATTTCTGTTAATAGAGCAGGTATAATAACTTTAGCCTGAGAGCCTAAGGGAATTCTTAAATGGTTTTAATTAGGGGAGTGGTAAACATTTATTTTGAAAATTTCACTCTGGCCTTGGTGTGAAGAATAAATTAGGCAAGAGGCAAGAATGGAGGCTGAAACTGTGAAATGGAGATGTTGTATTAATAGTTTAGGAAGAGGAAATGAAGGCTGAGATTAAGATAGTGAGTTGAGAAATATTTCCTTTGGGAATGAACAGACATTTATAAGTAGTTTGCTGTTACCGAGGTGTTTTTGTTCATTTGCTTTCATTTAGAAAAGATGGTTTGATTAGAAAACATGCTATGTAGATTGACAGAAGTAACGGAAAAAGCCCAGTCTGTCTGCTCCATCTGTTTTCAGAAAATTGACTTTGGAAATATCTAGATAAATTATTTTAATCTTTTTAGAGCACAGCTTTGGTTCTGAGATGAAATCTCTTAAACAACAAAAATGACATTTTGTAAAGGGATTTGACATTAACAGATATAGGATGTATTAAAATGTGTGTGTGTGTGTCTGTTTGTAAAACCTTGGTAACATTTTATATGTCATGAAATACTAGAGTTAACATTTCTTAGGGATACTGAGAATCTTTTGGTTGTGCTAAAATCACAGCAGGCTAATTGTCTCAATATTGTATTTTTAATTAGTCTATAACTTTGTTGACTTGTGTTGACATACAAAATGGGGATATATCTTTGTTATTAGATATGACTTAATAAAACGACTTCATGTATGGCATTTTGGTCAGTGTTTTTTCAGAAATATAATTGTATTTATTAGATGTTTTAAAGGGGATAGTTTTATGAATTAAATATATGTTTTCCAGTTTTAGAAAATTTTAATTAATGTATGAAATAGAGAGGATAGACACCCTTTATAAAACCAAAGGATATCTTTAAGTTTGTTGCTTGTCTTAAGGGAAGTTCTGTTTTGTGAATTGTCAAATGATTTATTAGTAGAATACAGGAACTATTTTGACATAATTGAATCCAGAGGAAATCACTTTGGATGAATGTTTTTAGTTTTTTTAGTTTTAGTTTTTATCAAAAGCACAAAAGGACTTTTTCTTAAGAACAGAGAGAAAAATAGATACATAGAGATATAATTACTATCATTGCAATAAAATATATCAGAGGCTCACATTTTTATGATAGTACTGTGAGCCTGATGCCTAGTATTTAAGAATAAGACTTTGGCTCTTATGTTTTCTTTCCTCAATCAATTTGGTGTCATATTTCAATATTAAATACTTTGAGTTGCTTTTGTATGTTTAAAAAGTATTCTTAATTTTTTATGGTAACATGGTTGCCAAAATGAAGGAATGCATGGTTGTGTGTGTGTGTGTGTGTGTGTGTGTGTGTGTGTTTCTGCATGTAGCCAATTTCACAGTGGCTTAGCTATAAATGAAAGTCCCTCTCTCCAGTTTTTCATCATCCCGGATTTCAGTGCTGCAAGATTAGTTGCTATTAATTTAGAATTTTTTCCATTTTTACTTACAAAGATAATATTTTCATAACTAGAGGCTTTTTCATGAACTCAGTTGGTATTCTTTGTTTTGCCTCCTCTTTCTTTACTTGTAAACTCAGTGATATACCCTGTAAACTTCAGAACATGTAGTTAGCTTTAATCACATAATGTATCAGCTTTCTATATAATTCTTTTATTTAAAAAAGAAAAATAAAATGTCTTTACATTTTAAATACTCTTCCTGCTCCCTTATCCCCATTTTGCATATTCAGATGTATTCATGTTCAGTATTTGGCCTTTGCTGTTTTATTAACCCTATTCTCTGCTTTTAGTTAACAGCCAGGTCCTTGCCTACTGTGCAGGCCGATGAGAGACTTCAGCCTCTGCTTAACCACCTCAGGTAATATGACAGCACAGCCTCGTTTTGCTTATAAATTCAAGTGCATTTAAGTGGGTAAAGCATATTAAAGTGGTTAAAACCCTTTCAGGTACTAAAACCTTCAAGTTTTTTTCTTGCTTAATTTGATGATTTAAGTCGAAGTTCTTAATACAACATATACTTGACTTTAGGTTACTAAAGGAAGCTCTTTTAATTCAATTAAAGTGTATGGAACAAGTTGATAAGTTTAAGTTAAAATGAGTAGAGATGAATGACTACAGAAAGATCTCGAAGAATGAGTTATTTACTTAAATACAAAGGCATACTTTGGGGTCCCCCCACATTTTATGGACAGGTAGAAGAAATAGATGGGATTTGTTTCCTAAATAAAAAAATAATGTATCTTTATTTAAAAAAACGTAGAAAATACCGGAAAAGCAAAAGGGAAAACTCAGTACTACTCAGAATACTTCCTTTTATTGTGTATTAAAACTGTTGAAATTGTATTTTTATATAATTTACTATGTTTTCATTTTAAAATAAATGTTGTAAGGCTTTTTTCTGTTATTAGAATCTCTCTAAAACATAATTTTTAGTGACTACATGATTTTTTCTTGAATGGATATACTATAGTGTATTTATTTCTCTTTGGGGAACTTTTAGACTATTTCTAGTTCTTTCCACTAGTATAAGAAATGCCATAGGTAAATATCTGTATTTTCTGATTATTTCCTTAGAAGCATAGATTTTCAGAAGTGCATTTACCTTGTCAAAGCGTATGAACTGTTTTAAAGATTAAGTATATATATTTTTTTCAAAAACCTTATTCTTCTTATATTTTCATGTTGTACAAGGTTGACCATGTTACCGTACCCTGAAAAGGATGGGCAGCCAAAACAGTTGCTATTTTAATAGTTAATCGTAGAGCCACTCTTGGGATCATGTGCATTTCATTTACTATTATTAAGAATGATTTTAAAACATTTTATTATCTATTCTTAGTTTGGTATGGATTAACTATCTGTGTCTTTGCCCATTTATTGATGACATTCCCTGATTTTATTTGATCTTAAGTACTTTAGATATAAAGGATAGTAACTACTTCATTGTATTTGTTACAAACATTTTTTTTCTGGAAGTTTTGATTGTTACATTATCTAGTGTACCTACATTTTCAAGTTTTATGTAGCCAAGCATCCGTAGTGTTTTCCTTTATGGTTTCTTTTTATTCTTGTAAAACTTTAGATATCACTTTTCAATTCAAAACTTGGATGGGTACCAATTTCCAGCATCTTTTAGTATTCTTTATTTTTTCTCCTCCCTTCCCTCCCTTCTCCCCTTTTTCTTCCTTTCCTACCTTTCCCTCCAGAAATTCCTTCCCAGACAGATGCTTTTTAACCGCTTTATAAATGTTTTTTGGAGTGG